GCAAAAAAAAATTGACAACTTTATTTTCTCAAACTGAATGAAGTGCATGAAGGACCAACTATTCTTTTGGTGTTCAACATTTCACAGTGTTTTTGTTTACACTATCACTCATTTTTCTTTGCAAGATAACAGATACTTAGGAAGAATTAATATTGAAGAAAATAATAAAAAAAAGATGTAAAGCAAAAATAACAAAAACAAATCAAAAACAAAGCAAAACAAATAACATTAAGATTATGATAGTTTAAACAGAAGTTTTAATGTTTGTTTCCGCAGGGATGTTTGCCAATCAAATGGACTGCACCAGAGATTCTGCTGGGATATCTCGCTGCACTTTCCACTTTGAGTGATGTGTATGTACTGTGTATATTCTTCCCTCACCTCAACAAAATGATCACCCAATTTGATTTTTTTTTTTTTTTATTACTTCACATCCAAAATTCACTTGACATTAACTGTGGAATATTTCTGATATATTCATCAGGTGGTCCTATGGAATCGTTCTGTATGAGATAGTTACCCTTGGTAAAGTTCAATAAGAATAATATTTTATAATAAAGATTTGTTTTTACTTTTTTCAGGCCTTTTATTCCTGAAATGGGCCTTAAGCAAGATAACATAGATGGTTTACATTCTCTTGCCTTGAGTTAATTGACTAATGTCTCAGTCTTGTAAGACTGATCAAGCTGTCTAACTTCTCTTGTAAAAATGAACCCTGATAATGAGTTCAGGTCGAATTGTATAACCTCAAGGCAAAAAGTAGGACAGTTGTCGTTTCTAAGACTATCCCGTGTTCAGTAAAGATCGTCTGCTTTTTACACCTGAAAATGAAATCTCATTAACTCTGTTTTCATGTTAATATGTAGCAAGCTATTAATCGATAGTTAATCTCATGAAATGAATTGAAACAAGAGGTAGAAGGCTTCCATAGTGTTCACTTGTTAGAGACTACCATCAAAACCGAACCAAAACGAAGAAACTTTAATTAAGAATTGTTTCATGCTTAGCGTGCGTCTATCGAGTTATGGATGCACGCGGGGAGTTTGGAGAGCATGAGAGAGGCGTAAGAGTTGCTCGAGGCGCAGCCGAGAGCAACCCTAGCTTCTTGAGTGCTTTCCAAACTTCCCAAGTACATCCATAACTCGATATACGCACAGCTAAAAGCATGAAACAATTCTTTTAGAACATACGAAAACAATTTGGGCGCTGAATGATGTTTTTGTAATGTCTTTTTAAATGAAAGTTGCTGAAAATGTTGGCGTATCCCATTGTTTTGTTGATTTTGTAATTAAATGGTTTTCGGTAGAGTTAACAAATGTAGCCAAAAACAACGTCATCAACAGAGACGT